GTTTATATAAAGATGCAACTTTAAAATGTGGAATTAAAGATGCATCTCAAAAATTTATCGAAAAATATTTTTTTAATGTTGAAAAACCCTCTAATTGATCATCTCGATATCAAGATGTATGAATATGAAAAAAATAAAGATTTTGAGTCCTAGAAATAGTGCATCTTGCAGCACATTATCTAGACCGTCCAATTTAAAGATTTTCATATGCTTATTGATCTAATTGATTTTAACCATTTGTTAAGTTTAAAATTTTATAATTAGATATAAAAATAGATTTTCAAATAATCCTCATAATTTTTAACACCAAAATTACATGTTATTAGAAGATTTGGAGGTTCGCCTTAATCAGATTGTTTAAGGTTACAACCTTATAAAAACCCCAGCCATATTTAAACTTATCTAATGTTTTATTACCTGCCCTCTAAATCCCCACCACATGAACCCTTATTTAATTTTTATTTTTATTTTATTTATTTTTAATATTTTCTTGAACACCGATACGGATCGATCCAAATCCAATCCAAATAACCGATCAAACGATCTACAATAGAGATGGGTGAACTATCTGCCCCACCGCTTCGAGTTATACAACAATAGGTTTTATAAAGTCATTTAACGATAATTTCTGAAACAATTCCAATGAATGCTCAGGCCTCCCTCTTTCAATTCCACATTCAAGATGCCCTTTAATAAGATATTAATATCTTGAGTAATGATCCTATGAACGCTCCCATACCTGTGTGTGTAGAACTTCAAAGGATCATCATTAAATTTCGTACAGATCTCTAAAAAAGTTGAGTCCCAAACCCATGTGATAACTTTTCTAGAGATATGTTTCAAATTTAATGGTCATCCTTTGAGGTCACACATAGATGTGGAAGGATCTTATACGATCATTACTCTAGTATCTTATAGAGAATAATTATAAAAATATTAATTAGCAAATATAGGGATCATCAACGCATCTTTCGTTTGGACACTAACCAATTTCTCAACAAGGATAAAATATTGATATTTTATAATAAAATAAAACTATTAGTAAAGAATATGTGGATCACACTCCTCCACTCTCTAGGCCACCAAGGGGAAGCACTATGTATCGATATTACTTCTTTTTTTTAATATAAACTTGAATGCATCATATGTTCTCTGAATAAGAAATGCATATTATGAAATTGAGAATCGGGGTATTTGCACTTCCCTATGTTTGTGGTTGTTAAGAAATGCGAAAGGGAACACTTTTATAGAAAAACATGAAAAAGAATGAAATATCTATTTTTGTTAAATACCTAATATCTATTTTACATTATTAAGGGGTAGATGTTGATATTTATCCTAAATTCTTGAATCCTAATGTTGAGGGATTGGTTTCCTTTAATTTAAGTTTCCTATTTATTCATTTAGGATCTTTCTGAATAAGTCCTAAGCCTTATCCCTAATTTTAAGGGATTGGTTTCATTTCCTATTTATTTGGGTAGAGCC